TAAGAGCGGCGCCCTGGACCTGTCGACAGCAAGCAGCCCGACGTCTACGCTTAACCCCGTCCTGTCCTCTCCTCCCCACACCTGCACTAAAGCCCCTCTGGACCTCAGCCGGGGCCCCGGGTCCCCCGAGCTCAGTCCCTCCACCCCGGAGGACGAGATGCCACGCTTAGATGCGTTCTGTGGGAAGCTGCGGCGGAGTATTCGACGAGGTGAGCGCTGTTGTGGGTTCTCTATCGTTCAGCCTCGAATTCTGAAAGCCAGTGTGACATGATAACGTGTTCACTTCATGCTTAGAAGGATATTAAAGGCATACTATGCAGAAATTGTGTTTTTGTCAAACAGCGACCCCTATAGTCGCTGTGGAATACTTGCACTGTCGTAAATAGCTAGCTAGACATATGTGGAAATTATTGGACTGGTCTAATTATCAACAATGGACGAATGAACAGCATCGTAAAAAAAAAGACATTCTACAAGCAAGCGCAACAACATAGAACGCAAACAAGTTTAGAAATAAGAGATTTATTTACTAGTCCATCAACAAGATCGCCAGATCAGCATTGCGGTTGCATCCAGTGCTGCTTTTTAGCTCGCGCCGTCTAGTGAAAGCCCGACCGAGTGCGACTGTCACAACTCTGAAGGAAATAGCCAAAGGATTCAGTTGCGAGTAAACAGTAATTTATGGAGCACAATAGTAGATTTTTGTGTGGGTCAAAATGGAAGCAGGCAGAAGAAGACTCAGGCTCGGCAACGCAGGGACGCAGTGGGCAGACACAGATGCAGGAACAGGTAGAAATTCCTCTGGGAAAATCTCAGGAAACCACTGCATGGGTACAGGACTGGAATGCAGGAGAACACGGCGAGTAGAACCCTGGTAGCCTCAACAACCATCTGACAAAGATAGGACGAGGTAACAAACAATATATAGGACATCCTCATTCAAAACAGCTGGCGCTGATCAGCCGCGCCCACTCACACAAGACGCACACACATAGCGAGGGCGAATCAGGGACTCTTTTCCGGTTCCTCACGCGGTCAGATTCTCTTTTCCTTTTCCTAATCTCTTCCGACCGCGTTTTCTTTCCTTTTTTCATCGTCGAGTATCACGTCTGAAATGCGCGCAAGTGTCTTCGTGCTTCATATGTTGTTGTTGATGTGTGTGACGTCGTTGCCGTAAAGCATGTCGTGATTCTCGCGAGATTTGTCGGGGGCGCTCCTCTCAAACTTGCATTGCTGGTTTTTCCAGCGGCGTCCCCCCCAAGCTTTACTACCAGGATGATTCGCCCTACTATGAGTTTGTTTACCACCGAAATGACTTTGAAGCTGTTATATTAAGGTACAATTCTTGCATAGTGTGCCTTTAAACATGGAACTGAATAAACATGGACGACTCTTGTTGAGATCTTATGTGGTCTCCTCTCAGGACTCTTGAGAGCATTTTGTCAAACTGCTTGTTTGAGCTTTTCATCTCAATTTTAGATAGATAGATAGATAGATAGATAGATAGATAGATAGATAGATAGATAGATAGATAGATAGATAGATAGATAGATAGATAGATAGATAGATAAATAGATAGATAGATAGATAGATAGATAGATAGATAGATAGATAGATAGATAGATAGATAGATAGAAATGATTATTTTTATTATTACAGCTGGATAGATAGAAGGACGGACGGATGGACAGATAGATAGTAAATGCTCTGTTTTCTTTGTTTATGAATGATAATAATTCCACATCACCCAAAACACATGACTGTGGTTGTATGATGTTCCTGACAGCTGTTCTAGAGTCAGTGTCGTTGGATAAATTCATTCCTGAGACGTCCAGTGATTCTGCAGACATGTCTGCGTGCCGCTCGCCGTCCACACCACGACACCTTCGCTACAGACAACCTGCAGGTATTCTCAAACACACACACTCTACACTCTTCAGTGACATCTTGCTTTCCCCTGAAGCTCACATTAGTCAATGTTTCTCAGAACAAATACAACATCTAGTTTAGTGCAAATTTAACAAAAAAATTTTTTTAACTTACTTTACCAGTCAAACTTTTGGACACAATTGGCTTAATATATATTTCTCATGATCTCATGACAAAAAAAAATTATATTTAAATTGATTTTTATTTAATTGATTTCTTTTAACCAGTGTCCAGCATACATGTTAAAGGGATAGTTCACCCTAAAATGAAAACTCTGTCAGTAATTACTCTCCCTCATGTTGTTCAACCCCGTAAGACTTTCGTTCATCTTCAGAACACAAATTAAGATATTTCTGATTAAATCTGAGAGCTGGATCACTCCTCCATAGGCTTCTTAAGGGATCGAAACTGGCCGGCCCAAAAGTTATGAAAGACATCGTTAAAATAGTCCGAGTGACGACAGTGGCTCAACCTTAAGTTTATCAAGCGACGAGAAACGTACAACATGTACGTTTCTAGCCTACGTGTAACGTACAACACAGAAGCTTTGCGTAGTTTCACTACGTGAAATCTCACGGCCCACAGAGAAGGAAATGAATAGTTGAATAAAGTCGTTATTTTTGCTAGTTTTTTGAGCACAGAAAGTATTCTTGTCGCTTGATAAACTTAAGGTTGAGCCACTGTCGTCACTCGGACTATTTTAACAATGTCTTTCATAACTTTTGGGCCGGCCAGATTCAATCGCTTTAGAAGCCTATGGAGGAGTGATCCAGCTCTCAGATTTAATCAGAAATATCTTCATTTGTGTTCCGAAGATGAACGAAAGTCTTACGGGGTTGAACAACATGAGGGAGAGTAATTACTGACAGAGTTTTCATTTTGGGGTGAACTAACCCTTTAACTTCTTCAATACTGTTTAAAACGCGTCCCAGACTGCACCTCATGAAGTCGGATTATCTTAATGTCAATAAATGATCTGCATGGATTTGGAAAAAAGCATGGATTTGTTGTTGAACAGTGTTTTCTCCCGCTGTGTCCTCATAGGTCAGTGTCCCGAGAGCTCCCGCTGTGTGGTGTCCCCCACATCCGCCTTCGCCATCGCCACCGCCGCCGCTGGACACAGCAGCCCACAGGGTTAGACTCACTGAAACTGATCTCCCGTCGCGTCACACGTCCTCATCACGCTCACACACTTCTCCTGCTGTCTCTCACTCAGGATTTACCAACCCAGAGAAATCATACGATAAAGAGTTCCTCATCCGCAGGGCCGCCACCAACAGAGTGCTCAACGTTCTGCGCCACTGGGTTTCCAAACACTCGCAGGTTTGTGTGACTTGCATCATTGCCAGCCTGCCAGTTTCAGTTCCTTGAGCCATTTATCATTTATAATAGAGACACGACTTGGAAGGAGGTGAAGAGGGTCGAAATCTACAACAGATACTTCCCCCTGTTGATTAATCACAGTACATTAAGACAGTTGTTTTGTATTACAAATTACCCAACATACCGTAAAACTTCAAATAATGGCCGAATCCCAAATAGACGCCTGTCTCTTTTACACGCCTGGTGTGGCGACAGGTTTGGGTAAATAAAGGCCAGTCTCAAATAGAGGCCGGTGTTGTGCCGAATTTCGACCCCCGCCAAATTATTACCCCCCTTGCATTGGTAGGTTTGGGATAAATTGTGGGGGAGGGGGTAGGGTTAGGGGCGGGGTTGGGATTAGGCAATCAGGTACTGACTTCAACTTCTAATAATTTGGCAGGGGGTCGAAATTAGGCACAACACCGGGTCTGTTTTTTAGTTTCGGGTTGTATTTAGTCCTCTAAAACCGTCAGATCGACAGTTTTTTGGCGGCCGCCAAAGCAAATTGTTGTCCCTCCAAAGCCTTTTTTGACCGATGAGTGATGTAGAATGACTGGTGCGCCTGACAGGGCGCGTTTTACGAGCAGAGAGAGAGAGAGCGCCCCGGCCGCGCGCGCGCGCGCACTCTCACGTCTTCAAACAACACGAGCGCTGTCTTGCTCTCTCTCTCCCTCGCGCATATTAATCAAAATCAATTGACACGATAGTAAAAGGTCGGAAGACCGCAGTTTCACGTGGAGCATTTGGAGATTTTTAGAGATTAGAGACAGGCCTATACACTCAATGAAAACATCTCAACACTAAATTATAAAGGCCGGTCTCATATAGAAGCCTGTCTCAAATACAAGCTGGTGCAGTTCGACGATTTGGAAAAATAAAAGCCCGGGCTAGTATTTGAAGTTTTACGGTAGTAGTGTAGTGACTTTGACATACATAATTCACCTTTGTTCTTGGCATTGTTCCTCACTGTTGTTCAGGGATCGTGGTCCCTTTAAAATGTTCTGTATGCGTGATGACGTGAGACGCTAGTCAGCGCCATTTTGGAGTTGAGTGTTTTTGTTTTCAATAATAAACGACACACGCATTCGTGTGCTCAATGTGAGAAGTTGTCTCTTGCGATTTACTACAATTTCCACACTGGTGACCCCGACATTAGTCTGCTGGACGTATCCAGTGACCCAACACGACCATGTGAACGCTGTCACCCTCAAACTCCCCGAATTCTGGGAATCGTCGGCATCGGCTTGGTTTGCCCAGACTGAAGCGCAGTTTGCGTTACGAGAGATCACCGCGGATACAACAAAGTATTACTACGTTGTGTCGGCTCTCGGTAATGCAACAGCATCGAGAGTGGTGAGCCTTCTTACAAACCCTCCGGAAACTGAGAAGTATGCAGCACTCAAAGCCCACCTGTTAAAAACGTTCGGACTGACGGACGCTGAGAGAGCCGGTAGGCTTTTCTCCCTTCAAGGATTGGGTGACAGCAAACCGTCCGAGCTCATGGATCATATGCTGGATCTTTTGGGTGAGCACAGACCCGATTTTCTTTTTATACAGCTTTTCCTGCGTCAGCTGCCTTCACAAGTGAGAGCTGCATTAGCCAACACCACAATCACTGACTGTCGGAGACTGGCCGAGGAGGCTGATAAATTTTTCCTGGCGAGTCTGGGACATTGCGCGGCCGCGCTTTTTCCCGCGCACATCGCTTCGGTGACACGGGACGACTCCACCTTTATCGCGGCTACCACTTCTCGGCGGCAGCAGTCTTCTGGCCCCCAACAACCTTCAGGCTTGTGTTTTTACCATGCGAAGTTTGGAACTAAGGCTAACAAATGTCGCCTACCATGCAGTTTCGGCGGGTCGGGAAACGCAGGGGCCGGCGCTCAGTAGTGGCCATGAGTGTCGGCCGCGTAGGCAGGCTGCTTTTCATCCATGACAGCATCTCCGGACGGCGTTTTCTGTGCGACACAGGAGCACAGAGGAGCGTCCTGCCTGCATCCCGTTTGGACATGGTGACTGACAGCCACGGCCCCCCTATGGAAGCTGCCAATGGAAGCCCCATCCGCACTTATGGACAAAGGTACGTCGAATTGTGTTTCGGAGGACAGCGCTTCGGCTGGAACTTTGTTACAGCAAAGGTGGCCGTTCCCCTCCTCGGTGCTGATTTTTTGTGTGCACATGGACTGTTGGTAGATGTAAAGAACCGCCGCCTGATTGACGCCGTCACGTTTTGCTCTTATACATGCACGCTCAGCGGGCCCGACTCCATACGACTGTCTAGCATGCTTTCAGTTTCTGATGATTTACACCGTCTGCTTGCCAGGTTCCCAGCTCTCACTCAGCCCACTTTCTCTGCATCTGCCGTGAAGCATGGTGTGGAGCATCATCTCGCCACTACTGGTCCGCCCGTGTATGCCCTTGCTCGGCGCCTCGACCCGACCAAGCTTGCCGTTGCAAAGGCTGAGTTTGCGAACATGGAGCGCCTGGGAATAGTCCGCAGATCCGACAGCCCATGGGCATCGCCTCTTCATATCGTCCCCAAACCTGGTGGCGGTTGGCGTCCGTGTGGCGACTACCGGCGGCTTAATGAGGCAACGGCACCTGACCGATACCCAGTCCCGAACATACAGGATTTTTCAGCACACCTGTCTGGCAAAGTGATTTTTTCGAAGGTGGACCTTGTTAGAGGTTATCATCAGGTTCCGGTACATCCACTGGACATTCCCAAAACGGCAGTGATCACACCGTTTGGTTTGTTTGAGTTCCTGCGCATGCCGTTCGGCCTTAAAAACGCCGCCCAATCTTTTCAACGACTCATGGACTCTGTGTTGCGGGACCTGCCTTTCCTTTTTGTGTATTTGGATGACATCCTAGTAGCAAACACGTCCAAGTCTCAGCACCTCGAGCACCTCCAAACCCTTTTTGAGCGGCTTAGCCAGCATGGACTGATTGTCAACCCCGCCAAATGCCAGTTCGGCTTGACCACCATCGACTTCCTAGGACACAGAGTCACTAAGGACGGGGCAGTCCCCCTCCCGTCAAAGGTGGAGGCGGTCGCACAGTTCCCGCGCCCTCTCACTGTCAAATCCCTGCAGGAGTTCCTCGGCATGGTAAATTTTTACCACCGTTTCATCCCTCGAGCCGCTCAGCTCATGCAGCCTTTGCATGAGGCCTTGAAGGGTAAACCCAAGCACGCTGTATCCTGGAATGAGAGTAGAGACAGGGCTTTTGCTGCAACTAAGACAGCCCTAGCTAACGCCGCCATGTTGGCACATCCTTCTCCAACAGCCCCCATCTCCATCTCCTCGGATGCCTCGGACTATGCTGTTGGTGCTGTATATGAGCAGTGGGTAGACGGGGCCTGGCAGCCGCTGGCTTTCTTTAGCCGTCAGCTGCGCCCCTGTGAGCGGAAGTACAGCACATTCGACTGGGAGTTGCTGGGTCTCTACCTCGCTATCCGACACTTTCGTTCCCTGCTGGAGGGCCGACATTTCACCGCTTTTGTGGACCACAAGCCGTTGACTTTTGCCATGGCCAAGGTGGCTGAACCGTGGTCCGCCCGCCAGCAACGTCATCTGTCCTACATTTCTGAGTTCACCACGGACTTGCAGCACGTCGCCGGTAAGACCAACCGAGTGGCGGACTGTCTATCACGGGGTGTGGCTGGGGCAGTCCACCTGGGTTTGGATTACGACCGCATGGCAGCGACTCAGGCCACAGACCCAGATGTGCAACTCCTGAGGACTTCGGCTACAGGGTTGCAGCTCGAGGACGTGGTTTTTGGCGATGCCGGCACCAAGCTCCTGTGTGACATCTCCACAGGTAGTCCTCGGCCGGTCGTTCCCTCGGGATGGAGGCGACAAGTTTTTGATGCCGTCCATGGTCTCTCCCACCCGGGTACGAAAGCGTCACAAAGACTGGTGGCAGGGAAGTTTGTTTGGCACGGCCTCAAGAAGGACGTTAGGGATTGGTCTAACACCTGTGTTGAATGCCAACGGGCCAAAGTCCATCGCCACACTAAAGCCCCGTTAGGGTCTTTCTCGGTTCCGGAAAGACGTTTTGACCATGTAAACGTGGACCTGGTTGGTCCTCTGCCCTCCTCTCACGGTTTCACATATTTGTTCACCATGGTTGACAGGACCATCCGCTGGCCCGAGGCTGTGCCTTTGACGTCAGTGACGTCTTCCGAAATGACACGGGCATTTATTGGCACCTGAGTTGCACGTTTCGGCACTCCTTCGGACATTTCCTCTGACCGAGGCGCACAGTTTACTTCTGAGCTGTGGGCCGCTGTCGCACAGAGCCTCGGAGTGAAACTCCACCGTACGACCGCATATCACCCGCAAGCTAACGGACTCTGTGAACGTTTTCATAGGTCAATGAAGGCTGCCCTGCGCGCTGGCCTCAAAGACAGCAACTGGGTCGACAAGCTCCCGTGGGTGATGCTGGGCATCAGGACCGCGCCAAAGGAGGACCTTCAGTCCTCATCCGCGGAGTTGGTTTATGGACAGCCACTGCGGGTACCAGGGGATTTTGTCCCTAGCACCACGGTTCCCTGGTCTGCTACTTTTCAGCGGTCCACTCTACTGGACAATGCGAGGCTTTTCGCACCTGTCCCTACTTCCCATCACGGCCTTCCTCAGTCACACATACCCGCTGGACTTCAGACGGCTGACTACGTTTTCATTCGCCACGATGCCCACAGGGGACCTCTACGTCCGCCCTACGAAGGCCCATTTCAGGTTTTGGAGAAGGGGGACAAACATTTTGTGGTGGACAGGGGCGGGAAACCGGAGCGACTTTCCATTGACCGCCTCAAACCGGCTCACTTGGACGTGGCCAGGCCCATTGACCTGGCCCAGGTCCCACGGCGCGGACGGCCTCCTGCTCTGCCCCCACCCCTTGCTCCCCTCCCTCCCAAGCCTCCCACACTCCATGTCCCACACCCGTGCCAGGGCGGGTTGCCGGCTGCAGTGCGGTCTCCTCCTCCTTCCGTGCAGCGCAGCCGTTGTGGCAGGTTGATACGCCCACCTCCCCGTTGACTGTTTGGTTCTCCTGATATGGTGAATTCTGGGGGGACGTGTGTAGTGACTTTGACATACATAATTCACCTTTGTTCTTGGCATTGTTCCTCACTGTTGTTCAGGGATCGTGGTCCCTTTAAAATGTTCTGTATGCGTGATGACGTGAGACGCTAGTCAGCGCCATTTTGGAGTTGAGTGTTTTTGTTTTCAATAAAAAACCACACACGCATTCGTGTGCTCAATGTGAGAAGTTGTCTCTTGCGATTTACTACAATTTCCACAGTAGCAACATTTTGGAAGCACTTTATTTTACATACTATGTATGTACTTATTACAGTAATTATAATAACTGGGTTATAGCTAGGTACTAACCCTGAACCTAACCTTAACCCATGCAGTTACCTTATATTACCCAGTATTTTCTTAGACAAGAACACTGTAAGTACACGTACTGTAAAATAAAGCGTAATTCAAATTGTTTATTGTAATAAAGCAATGGGTTTAACTTTAGACGTACAATATTTACATGAACCAACCTCTGAGATCTTATGTTAATATTTCAATAATTTAATGACACAATCGCATGTTGGGTGTAATGCATTACTAAGTTAATAATTTAATTACTTTACCCCTGAAAAAGTAAAGTGATGGATTACTCCCTTTCCAATTTTCCTGTGATTCAATTACAGTTACTTCTGATGTCATTGCATTAAACACAGGGTGGACTATAGAACAATTCTATATAAAAGAAGTACAGTAGATGTAACATCAAATTGACGTCTAATGTTAAAATATATATTTTTAATGTGACCTTCACCCTTTAAATACTTTAGTCAGTTCAATAATAATTTATGCAATTTTATATTATTTATTTAAAATAATTAAAAGAGCACTTTCATGTCTCTGAACTGGTATTTTTTAGAGAAAGTATTTTTATTTATTTATATTTATCACTCTGAAATTTGCAGCGCATCAGACTATACAGTTATTTTAAATTGCACTGTTTGATTTGATAATTATATTGCAAATGTCATGGAGCCCCATTTATTTATTTTAATTTTACATTCAAAATAATGAATTATTAATTTTTCATCAACTCACAAACCCTCTTTTTTTAAAGTTAACAAAATGTCATTAAACTCTAAACAGTAGATTGCTATTGCACCTGTGCATGATTATATGATTTATTATTTGCATTTTGTGATCAGCGTTGAGCACGTGACTCTGCCAGGAGGACAGGTGTGTTCACACAGCCGCTGTGACGTGTCCACCTCACACCTCACTGTCAGACCTGCTTTGCTCTTCAGTCCTTCATCGTGTGCAGGAGTGACTGCGCTGAAATGTCAGCGGACCCCTGAGGGCCGTTAACATGTCAGGAACATGCGTCCAGTCAAATCTATTCCATCCTTTAGCGTGCATTTGAAGGAAGCTGGTGGTTATTTATTGTAGTATGCCCCATTTTTCTGGCTCACAGCAGTTTGAGTATATTTAGGCAGTTATTTAGAAGATGCTTATCTAGTGATATATGAATATAGCGAGTATTTGAATGACTGATGCTGATATCTAATGTGGCAGATGTAACGCCGATAAACTCAATCCCGTACTTTACAAACTAAGAGGTGATTCTTTTTCAAGCTGCTTTTAAATATATATTGTGAAAAGCACTATTCAAATAATACAGTCTTGGATATTTACTCAAAGTTCACTCGAAAATTGAAAACTGAATTTTTTATCCATAATAACACTACTGTTAAATAATTTGGGGTCAGTAAGGTGTTTTTTAAAGAAAAGATATTATTACTTTTATTCAACAAAGATGCATAATATTATGGAAAGCTTGTTTCCGCCACGGAAGTAAACTAATGTAAAAGATAATTTGTCTCACAATTCAGATTTTTTTTTCTCTCGAAATTCGGACTTTTTTCTCGCGATTACGAGTTTAAATCCCGTACATCCCTTTCTTCTCATAATTGTGTGATATAAACTCTTAATTGTGAGTTATAAAGTGCAGTTCAGAGGAAAAGTGACCTCACAATTCTGAGTTTATATCTTGCAATTCTGACTTTTTAACTGCTATTTTATAATCACGAGAAAAAAAAAATCTGAATTGTGAGACAAAAGTCACGATTACCTTGAAACTCAAGGTGAAACTCAAAAATCGTGCAAAAGTTTATTTATTTCAGTAATTCAACTTAAAAGGTGAAACTAATATATTATATAGACTCATTACATGCAAAGTGAGATATTTCAAGCCTTTATTTGTTATAATTTTGATGATTATGGCTTAAGAGTTGCACCTGTAATATTGATCAAATGTGACAGTAGACATTTGTAATGTTACAAAAGATTATTTTTCAAATAAATGCTGTTCTTTTGAACTTTCTATTCATCAAAGAATCCTGAAAAAAAAATGTATCATGGTTTCTATAAAAATATAAAACAGCACAACTGTTTTCAACATTGATAATAATCATAAATGTTTCTTCAGCAGCAAATCAGCATATTAGAATGATTTCTGATGGATCCTGTGCAGACACTATTTTTGTGTTAAATTTGTCAAACTCCACGCATCAGTAATGGTTGGGTTGGTTTGCATTTACATACTATGTTCAGGTTTCATGGCCATAAATGCATAAAGTGGAAACATCCTGCCTGGAGCAACCTGTAATTGAACAAGGCTCAGCAGTGACTCTTGAGTTTCGAACCTTTCCGGCACTAAACGTTAGCCAGAACGGCCACTACATCACACAAGCCTGGTCATGTGTTTGTCTGTGTTTGCAGGACTTTGAGATGAACGCAGAACTGACGACGGCTGTGGTCGCTCTGCTGGAGGAGGTTCTGCGAGATCCCGATCTTCTACCACAGGAGAGGAAGGCTGCAGCTAACATACTGAGGTGATGCTTCCAGTGAGGAAATCTGAGACAAAGAGTTTGATGGCTCAATGACAGATGGGTGGGATAATTCACCAAAAATATTGGAAAAAATCAAATACTCACTGAGGGGCTCTTTCAAGAACTTTTACAAAATGTGGGGTTATCTCCTTGCATAAATGGAAACATACACTCCCTGCATACTGGAAAATAGTAAATAATTGTACCCTCTACTCAGCCTGTTCTCACGTAAATGCGTCTCTATAGCACGCATTGTGCAATTTATACGCGAAAATACGTTTTTACGTGCATATGATACGCAGTTTTCGCGTGCATTTGATACGCAGTTCATTTGCGTGTAATACACCCGCACCCCACACCACTAATTCTACCCAAACGTATAATACACACGCACCCCACACCACTAATTCTACCCAAACGTATAATACACACGCACCCCACACCACTACTAAACCTACCCTAACCAACCCATGCGTATCCTATGCACGTAAAAACTCATTTCCGCGTATAAATTGCACGATAAACACACTGCGTGCTATAGAGACGCATTTAGTGTGATCGGGTTGCTCTACTATAGTATGCTACCGCTTCTGTAATAACACTTATAATTGATTAATGTGGTTAAACATTTACCTTGGTTGGCATGTTTTTTTTCTTTTTTTTTTCTTGGGGTGGTTGAGGGGTAATTTTTGCATATTTGGTACTTTATTGCGTATATTTGTACATTCTTATTTGGAGTCAACAATCGTTAGGTAGGTCCTGGATCCCTGCCTATCTTCTGATCCTACCCCTTTTTTTTCTACATATGTTAAATTGTACAACTTTGTTATGACATGTTTGGAATTTTGTAATATGTGGAGAAACCTATAAATAAAGTGAGGGAAATATATATATATATATATTTAATTAACTACTCGCCTTATGTTAGTTGAAGCGTGTACGCTAGTGTTTAAAAGTCGGTAATATTTTTGAAACAAGATTCTGCTCACCAAGACGAAAATACAGTAAAAATAGTGAAATATTATTACAATTTAAAAAAAAATGTTTTCTATGTGAATATATTTTAAAATGTTATTTTTCGTGTGATCAAAGTTTAATTTTCAGTGTCACATGATCCTTCAGATTTGCTGCTCAAGAAACATTTCTGATTATCATTAGTGTTGAAAACAGTTGTGCTGGTTCTTATTTTTGCAGAAATGTTTTTTTTCTTCCAAGATTTATACAAAGTTAAAAAGTACAGCATTTATTTGAAATTGAAATGTTTTGTAATATAACCTTTCTTGTCATTTTTTATCAATTTAATGGATCATTGCTGAAAAAAAGTAATAAAAAAAAATTATACAAAAAAATAATACAAAAAAATAATAAATAAATTATCGTAATGACCCCAAAATTTTGAATGGTAGGGTATGTGGAAGACAAGACTTGGGAGGAATTCTATGGGATTTTGTAAACTTTAAATGATAAAATATGTGTTCTATGGGGAGCAAGCATGTGTTGGATAAATAATGTATATTGATTTGAGGTGAACTGCTCCTTTACTCTTTACTCTTTCCCCAGTGCACTTTCTCAAGAAGAGCAAGATGATTCACAGTTGAAGATTGAGGATATCGTCCAAATGGTTAGTGTCACTGCACTGAAGTGTGTATCGGTGTATTTCTTTCATCCTTGTGTAATTTTGCGTGTGTTTTCTAGTCCGAGTGTCCGAGGGTCGAGTGCTTCGAGTCACTGTCGGCGATGGAACTAGCGGAACAAATTACTCTACTGGACCATATCGTGTTCCGGAATATTCCATACGAGTGAGTATTCCCTCAGAGCATGAATTCATACTCTAGAGTGTTTGATTCATAAATTGTTGGTGATTTACTCTATAGTAGTGTTTGATAAAGATGTTGGACGTGTTTCTAGGGAGTTTCTTGGTCAAGGCTGGATGAAAACGGACAAAAGTGAAAGGACTCCGTACATTATGAAGACCAGTCAGCACTTCAATGATGTGAGCAAAAATCATAATCTATAATCATCAAAAGATCAGACACACATCCTCAGATTTTAAAATAATAATGACAGATTGTGTTTGCGCAATTAAGATTAGTCTACAAAGCTATTTTTAGTCATTTAAGCAGAAGCTTTTAGAATAAAATGTGGTAAAGGTAATGAGAAACACAGAGTTTTGACTGCTAGTGTAGATCAGGGGTTCCCAAACTTTTTTTTCAGCCAAACGTAAAATATTTACTTTATGTACCAGATAAAAAACTGCCAGATTTGGTCTCAGGTTATAGTTGAAGTAAAAAGTAAAAAAGTAATAGAGGTTTTAGTTTAGGAACATTATTTATGAACATTATTTTATATAAAATATATATTTTATAAAACATGTTGAACTCAAAAACTACAAGACAATCAAAGCCATACATCTAAAAAAAGTTGTCTTCCAAATTTGAGGTTAATATCTCAAAAAATGAGCTTTCAGTAAAGTGTAAAGTTTTTCCATTAGATCCCAGTAAAGCTCCAATGGTATTGACAGCTCTGGCATTGTGATATGTAGTACAGTAGAATTTTTCTTTCTCAAATATTACACGCACACACACACAATTATACATCCATACCTACATGCCCACCCAATTATAGCTGCATAATTTATCCAATTGGCTTTATAATACGCAGAAGCAGAAAACAGGAGAAAGCTAGTATTTGCTTTATAGGCCATCTATAAAGTGAAAAAAAACCCTCAACAACAGAACGAAAGCCTATTAACAAAGACTGCCTTTAATGTCCTAAGTGTAACTATTTTGTGTCCCTAGTGTAAAATAGATATAGTACAGGAAATTAAGGCAAAATAGCAAAATTCCAATAAAAATACACACTTTTGCCTAAATACACTCACCGGCCACTTTATTAGGTACACCTGTCCAACTGCTCATTAACACTTAATTTCTAAGCAGCCAATCACATGGCGGCAACTCAGTGCATTTAGGCATGTAGACATGGTCAAGACAATCTCCTGCAGTTCAAACCAAGCATCAGTATGGGGAAGAAAGTTGATTTGAGTGACTTTGAACGTGGCATGATTGTTGGTGCCAGAAGGGCTGGTCTGAGTATTTCAGAAACTGCTAATCTACTGGGATTTTCACGCACAACCATCTCTAGGGTTTACAGAGAATGGTCCGAAAAAGAAAAAACATCCAGTGAGCGGCAGTTCTGTGGGCGGAAATGCCTTGTTGATGCCAGAGGTCAGAGGAGAATGGCCAGACTGGTTCGAGCTGATAGAAGGGCAACAGTGACTGAAATAACCACTCGTTACAACCGAGGTATGCAGCAAAGCATTTGTGAAGCCACAACACGCACAACCTTGAGGCGGATGGGCTACAACAGCAGAAGACTCCACCGGGTACCACTCATCTCCACTACAAATAGGAAAAAGAGGCTACAATTTGCAAGAGCTCACCAAAATTGAACAGTTGAAGACTGGAAAAATGTTGCCTGGTCTGATGAGTCTCGATTTCTGTTGAGACATTCAGATGTTAGAGTCAGAATTTGGCGTAAACAGAATGAGAACATGGGACCATCATGCCTTGTTACCACTGTGCAGGCTGGTGGTGGTGGTGTAATAGTGTGGGGGATGTTTTCCTGGCACACATTAGGCCCCTTAGTGCCAATTGGGCATCGTTTAAATGCCACGGCCTACCTGAGCATTGTTTCTGACCATGTCCATCCCTTTATGGCCACCATGTACCCATCCTCTGATGGCTACTTCCACCATGTCACAAAGCTCTAATCATTTCAAATTGGTTTCTTGAACATGACAATGAGTTCACTGTACTAAAATGGCCTCCACAGTCACCAGATCTCAACCCAATAGAGCATCTTTGGGATGTGGTGGAACGGGAGATTCGCATCATGGATGTGCAGCCGACAAATCTGCGGCAACTGTGTGATGCCATCATGTCAATATGGACCAAACTCCCTGAGGAATGCTTCCAGCACCTTGTTGAATCTATGCCACGAAGAATTGAGGCAGTTCTGAAGGCAAAAGGGGGTCCAACCCGTTACTAGCATGGGGTACCTAATAAAGTGGCTGGTGAGTGTATATGTTGGCATTAACACAGGCCAAAAAAAAAAAAAAAAACTGAAAAAGACATAAAGTCCTTTAGGATGCACAAGGATGATCCCATTTTCCTTCATGTGATGTGTATGAGAGCAAGTCAATATAACTGAATGATAATGTTTTTCTATAGATGAGTAATCTGGTGGCGTCTCAGATCATGGCTCAATGTGACGTGAGCTCCAGAGCCAACTCTATTGAGAAGTGGCTGGCTGTGGCTGATATATGCCGCTGTCTCAACAACTACAACGGCGTCTTGGAGATCACGTCCGCTCTGAACCGCAGCGCCATCTACAGGTTAAAGAAAACATGGGTCAAGGTCTGCAAACAGGTGGGTTGAGAAAGCCTCAGAGATTCAATAGGAATAGAAGCATTAAACAAACACAGTATTAGTGTTTTTTTGTGCATTTTAACCGTGCATGGATTTTGTTCATTGTCAGACCAAAGCTCTTATGGATAGGCTGCAGAAGATCGTTTCATCTGAAGGGAGGTTTAAGAACCTGAGGGAAACTCTGAAAAAGTAAGTTTGTGTATGTTAGTTTTACACTGAATATAAACACATACACTGTAAGATGTATGGTGTGGTACTTAATCCACAGCTGTAACCCTCCATGTGTGCCCTATCTGGGCATGTACCTGACGGATTTGGCGTTTATCGAGGAAGGGACGCCTAACTTCACTGAGGAGGGGCTAGTCAACTTCTCTAAAATGAGGATGGTAAAATGCTCAAATTGCTCAAGACGCTAGTTCACATTTTGTAGTCATCAGTAAAGAGCTGTGCTTTTGTTGTACTTCACAGATCTCACACATAATACGAGAGATCCGACAGTTTCAGCAGGCGCCCTACAGGATAGACCTGCAACCCAAGGTACAGTCATGACGTGTGGCGAGACCTTATGGAAGCTGTAGATACAGAATCAAGTGCACACTTTTAACCCTGTACTGCCTGACTTATGAAAGAAGTCAGAATGTTTTCTGAAATTGAACTGTTTATTGAACCCTTAAGGCCCTTGCACAGAGTCCGAAATTCGCGCCCGAAAATTTTGCACGTTAAAAAATAAATACGACCTCACGTTATGTCAATCACGCTTGCACACTGCCTCCGAAACTTTCGTCCGGCATAAAAAAAATCGCATCGGGTTCGATTTTATGCGTTTTTCGCATCCGTAGCAAGCAGTTTGAATGATGTTTAGACAATTCAGAGCCACCGAATCACGAATACGAAAAAAACACTGTATATTTCGGACTCAAAAAAGTTTGCATGCATGTTTTTTTTTTAGATTCATATTTTATGCATCAAGCTTTTATAGCTTATATACACTCAGCTAAAGTATTATTAGGAACACCTGTTCAATTTCTCATTAATGCAATTATCTAATCAGCCAATCACATGGCCGTTGCTTCAATGCATTTAGGGGTGTGGTCCTGGTCAAGACAATCTCCTGAACTCCAAACTGAATGTCAGAATGGGAAAGAAAGGTGATTTAAGCAATTTTGAGCGTGGCATGGTTGTTGGTGCCAGACGGGCCGGTCTGAGTATTTCACAATCTGCTCAGTTACTGGGATTTTCACTCACAACCATTTCTAGGGTTTACAAAGAATGGTGGGGAAAGGGAAAAACATCCAGTATGCGGCAGTCCTGTGGGCGAAAATGCCTTGTTGACGCTAGAGGTCAGAGGAGAATGGGCCGACTGATTCAAGCTGATAGAAGAGCAACTTTGACTGAAATAACCACTCGTTACAACCGAGGTATGCAGCAAAGCATTTGTGAAGCCACAACAACACACAACCTTGAGGCGGATGGGCTACAACAGCAGAAGACCCCACCGGGTACCACTCATCTCCACTACAAATAGGAAAAAGAGGCTACAATTTGCAAGAGCTCACCAAAATTGGACAGTTGAAGACTGGAAAAATGTTGCCTGGTCTGATGAGTCTCGATTTCTGTTGAGACATTCAGATGGTAGAGTCAGAATTTGGCGTTAAACAGAACGAGAACTTGGATCCATCATGTCTTGTTACCACTGTGCAGGCTGGTGGTGGTGGTGTAATGGTGTGGGGGATGTTTTCTTGGCACACTTTAGGCCCCTTAGTGCCAACTGGGCATCGTTTAAATGCCACGGCCTACCTGAGCATTGTTTCTGACCATGTCCATCCCTTTATGGCCACCATGTACCCATCCTCTGATGGCTACTTCCAGCAGGATAATGCACCATGTCACAAAGCTCGAATCATTTCAAATTGGTTTCTTGAACATGACAATGAGTTCACTGTACTAAAATAAACCCCCACAGTCACCAGATCTCGACCCAATAGAGCATCTTTGGGATGTGGTGGAACGGGAGCTTCGTGCCCTGGATGTGCATCCCACAAATCTCCATCAACTGCAAGATGCTATCCTATCAATATGGGCCAACATTTCTAAAGAATGCTTTCAGCACCTTGTTGAATCAATGCCACGTAGAATTAAGGCAGTTCTGAGGGCGAAAGGGGGTCAAACACAGTATTAGTATGGTGTTCCTAATAATCCTTTAGGTGAGTGTATGTGATATAGTGAAAATATGGAGGGAAAACAGTTACATTTTATTCAGAGGCCCAAACTTAGCAAAAATATGCAATTTGGTGCACATGCTGATATTGTTAGATATTTTAGGCCAGAAAGTGAGATGAAATTCTTTATAACAGTATAGACTACTTGCATAAAATGCAATTAATATCAGTTAATATTAATATCAGTCGTCTCTCTATATCTGCCAATAATACATCTTAGTAATAATATGATATTTGAATGCTTAGTTTTATGATCAAAGCTCTGTTTTTATAATGCAATGCAATACAATGATGATTGAGAGATGAACAAATACGTAAACCTTCCTCAAAAGCCTGATGATGATCATATTTGATACTCACATTTTAACATGATTAAAAAAAAGATGCATGGAGAATCAAGTAAACCTAAGTTACTTAAGTCCAGTAAGTGTTCATCTTGAAATATTGCTACAATATTGTTATTCGTATAACAATTGTATTACAATAGAAATGATAAAATTATTCAACATCTGAGATTGCACATATTTATTAGAGCATGAAATGAAATGAAATTTTCTACAATATAACATTTTTCTGTAACTTGTCATATAAAGTAACCTCTTGCTATATGTATCCATTTATGTTGATATTTTTAACTATCCTGATGTGAAAATGTGACTTGTCTTATCTAAAGTAATTTCTTGTAATTGCTCTCTGTCAGGTGATATGTGCAGATGAGCACCTGTGCTTCTAGATCATGTGACCACATGCAGATATATAGCATGCAGTCTACAGACTGCCATTTTGAATTTGCCCTGAAGAAGGCCAAAGAGGCCGAAACATGTTGGCATATGTTTTTTAATGGATAGCCAAGTTTAAATGAAGGCTTTTTAAACTTATTTTCCTTTTGAGTGCCTCAGAATTACTGTTTATTTGGGAAACATTTTGGATCTCCAAGCTGAAGAGCACCAAAGGAACACACCTCTCAACACCCAAGTAGCACTCCTAGTAACTCATTTGTGGACATTGTTATTCGTATGTTTACTTAATAACAATCAGTAAAGATTTCACAGCAAAAACTCACAAGCTCTTATTTTTTATACAATTATACTAAAAGGCTTTTACTTGCTAAAAAAGTCTAAACTATCAGTCAGACGACCGAAAGCATGCAGTAGATTGTGTACAACAGGTTTTTCAGCAACGTTTCGATCATGTTTATAATTTACAGGCCTTAGAAATTTGCGTGTCAAATATGACGCAGTAGGTTTTCTAAAGCTAAAAACTTGGTTTTCAATTTACGCAACAAATTGCAGACTAGACTTAAACCGTGAAAGGGAAGTGAGCTTCAGTCTGGTTGCGGAAGCACGTGTGTAACCCTGTTGTGATTGACTGTTCTTCTCTCAGGTAACACAGTTCCTCCTTGATAAGACTCTAGTTATGGATGAGGACACACTTTATGAACTATCTCTGAAGATTGCGCCAAGAATCCCTCCTGCCAACTAAACGTGACGACAATGTTTACACCAGACGCAGATATCAAGTAAGAAGCTTTAGTGGGAATCTATACTTCCATCTGAACTCAAGTCAAGTCTATACATTTATTAACTTCATTGCATAGAATTTCGTATTGTTATTTTTTGTTGTTGCTGTAAACTCAGGTATAAATGTGCCTTTTTTTAAAATATTATGTACAGTTATAATATTCCGGAGTGCATATTTCTAGCATGATACATTTTAATATCAATTTGATAATCTCTTGAAATGTTTTTACCTGAATGCAAAATGTCAGTTCCATTTTAAATGTCAGATCATTCCTTTAATGAGAATCATTTTTGTATGTGTAGAAATGTCTGTTCAGATATCAATAAATGACACCATAAGTGTCCTATTTTAAAAAGCAAGTTTCTTAATCACACCTCCATTAAAATCCGCCAATATGTTTGACAAACATGAAATGTCAAAGCTCAGACAATCACTGTTACTGTTTATCAAAAGAAATATCTGTCATTTGTTAGTTAGGTGTCACTCGTTTACACAGCAGGTCGGCTGCATTTTGCCATGAGGCTGCATTTGCTCCTTTAGCATGTTTTTGTTTGTAGAAATATTTTATATTTTTGGCATCTGTTTGCATGAATTTAAAATTTTTCAAAAATACTAAATTAATTTTCATTATATTTTAAAATGTTTTCTTTAACTTATGGATAAACAATAGCAGTTTCTATTGTTCAAAGCATTTGTTACATGTTCTACACCGTTTTTTTAACTCTTTCATTGATGTAATTTTCCGGCTTTCGAAGTTTTCACTGTTATACGATAGGGGGCGCTATTACACATCTTCTGAGAGAGTACTGAATCTCCCGATCAAACCACAGGCGAAGAAGAAGCAGATCCATATGTAAAATAATGCGATCAGCAACATTAAACGGCATATAAATCAAATCTGCCTACGTTACTAAATGAAATGTCGACCCAGGACGAGATATAGGACGGTGAAGCTTTAGGGGTGTTGATGGACTCGATCAACTCCATCTTTGTTTTGATCATTGTTTTAATCCTATCTGGATTCTTTGACGAAAATGTGCTTTTTTCTCCAAATGTTGCTTTTTTAAGGAAACTTAACTTAAAAGAAAGCATGAAGCTAGAATAAAACAGGCACTGTTCTTTATTTTGATATATTGCATATTCAAATATTCATACAATATATTCTGGGGGCCGCATGAAAATTTTGTGAAGATGATCAAAAATGCTGGTGGTGGCTGGCAACTTTTTTCAAAAATGCTGGCGAGGAAAGAGTTAAACAAAGTTGCCAGCCAGCGCTAAGATTTTTGATCGTTTTCACAAAATGTTCATGGCTGCCAGAATATTTTGCTGTATGAATATCTGAACTCACAATATATCAAAAGAAAAGAATAGAGCCTCTCTTTTAAACAACAACAAAATCATTGTATTCTACCTCCATGCATTCTTTTTATCAACACTTGAATGTGGGTAAGTTTAATAAAAAAGCAACATTTTGAACAAAGAGCTGAGAAAATTCCATTTTCAATCCAAAATTTTCGTCCGCAGATGGAGTAGATCAAGTCCATAAACACCCACAAAGCTTCACAGTCGTTTCCTCCATGTCATTTGATAACGATATTCAGTTTTGATTTATATGCTGTTGAATGTTTGATCCACAGGTGTGAAACCATAGATATCCATAATAAAGGCTAGATGTCTCGTCCGCGCTGCTGGCCAATGGAGGTCGACGTCCGCACCTGGCGGCCATCTTGTCACAGGCAGCTCGCTCACTCGTAACATTGTGTTTTAATGGTGCATGTACTTTTTAAATAACCATAACTTGCTCAATTTTCTACCGATTTTCAAACGGTTTGGTTTGTTATAAACATCAGAGATGTAGTTATGACACTGCACACTTATGAATAATAAGTGTATCAATAAATAATGATCCAGAATTATATCCACGTTAATAACGTTTGTAAGAAACCAAACCGTTTGTAAATCCATCAAGATTTCAACGAGATAAGAGTATTTGTGTTCGTGCTGATCACTCATCTTACATCAGGGACCACAGAGCCCGCCAGAAAGCTTGCCTGTGGCAAGATGGCTGCCGGTGATGACGATAGAGACTCCGCCGTAAGACATCTAGCCTTTATTATGGATATCTATCATAGACAGTATAAGAAGTGGACAGAGCCATCTCATTGGAACTTTAGGTTACTTACGTAACCCCGGTTCTCTGATAACATGAGTGAGGTATCTCACTATGGGAACGCCTCTGAGCGTGACAGATCTGGAAGTACCAATCACACCACGTCTGTCAGTTGACAGACCAATCACGACAGTGATGCGGGAGTCCCACCTCCCTCATATAAACCGCTGCCAGTGGTCCCTACTTCATTCTCTGCATATCTCTTCTCCGTGCACTGCAAGGAGGGACGTGTGGTGAGATACCTCACTCATGTTATCAGAGAACCGGGGTTACGTAATGTAAGGGATATACAGTCAAAGACCCAGAACCAGATATGAAGAATGAAGACCCGGAGTCAGAATTATAAAAAATTAAAGAAAAGTTTTACTGAAGATAGTTTGCAGTTTCATCAGCAGAAGTCAGCTTCAAGACTCACACAGGAGTTCGTAGGCCGCCCCGCTTACAGTTACAAAGATCACAGCAGTTATACCATTTCCAAGGTCTAAGCTACGTCATTGCTTACAGGTTGAATGATTCTCATTGGCTAAGAAACATGAAAGCCTAAACAATTTAACACATGTGAGGAGATAGGGGTGCCTATCGCCATTAGTAAAGATAGTTGTCGTCCACTCATTGGATTTAGGTCTGTGGTGGCCTCGCAGGTTAGAGAAGGGCGCCGGGGTGTCTGGTCCGACCGTCCAGAACCTACATAGAATGTCATACGCACACACACACAAATAACAGACACTAGCAAATAACAGCTCCCATCAAGGCTGAAGAGAGTCTGAGCTCCTTATTATCAGTTAAGTATACCAAAACATAATGCTAAAACATTCACTCATTTGGGAGAAAAACAGATCACTGGCATTTACTCCCAAGGAAGGAAATATACTGGAAAGAATACATTTTAATACAACAATTAAAGTTTGATAGTAACGCTCAATATAGCTTGACCAAATGTCCAGCAAAGAATCATATGTGCCCACGCTGCCTTTAGGACCCTCTATAAACCTTTCTACTGATCCCAGAGAAAGAGACAAACGGCCTTGTGGGTTACGTGGCCTTCGTATCCTGCGTGTACTACGTGCAATCTCAAAGTAAGATTGGAATGCACCTAAAAGAAACTGGCTACTTGCATCCATGCATTTAAGAAAATATAATTTCACAAGCACAAGAATATAAAAATTATTATGTGATAATGAATATATTTGATTATTGATTTTTATAAAGGAAGTATATAACCATTCAAAATGATATATGATTATATATGTATTTGAAGAGGCAAGGGATTTTGACCAACCCTTCAGTAAGTAACCTAAAGTTCTCTTTCAAACATTCGCTCGGTATCTCACTATGGGATATAGACAACTCCCGTATTGCAGATATGCTTCCCTGAAGCAGGCATGTCAACCAACTCAGTGATGTATGCGACATAAACACTCCACAATGAGTGTGTGTGTGTGTGTTATTTTTTTTTATTTTTTTTTTTTTTTTTTTTTTTTTACACACTTAAGACGGAATGAGCCAGTGATGGCTCAGTGACATCCATTCTATAAAATCGGACAAAAGTGTGAGGCGAAGCCCAGCTTGCTGCTGCACATATGTCCTGAACTGAAACGCCCTTAAACAGTGCCCATGAGGTAGCCAAACCTCTGGTAGAATGAGCCTTCAGCCCTTCCGGAGGACAGAGACCCATGCCATTATAACCCAATATAATAGCTTCCACTACCCAGTGGGACAGGCGCTGACGCGAAATAGGTTTCCCTTTATGAGAATCAGCCCATGAAACAAATAACTGATTACTCTTCCTTAGTGCTTTCGTTCTGTCCACATAATGACGCAACGCACGGACAGGGCACAAGCAATGAAGCCGCGCATCCTCTGACGAGGAAAAAGGCTGCGGATGGAAAGCCAGTAAATCCACCTGTTTACAGGCGAGAGCTGACTCGCTAACTTTAGGCACAAACGCTGGATTCGTTTTGAGAGTTACTCTCGAGTAATCCATAGCGAACTGCATACAAGAGTTATGAACCGATAGCGCGTGAAGTTCACTAACCCGCTTTGCGGTCGAAAGAGCCAATAATAAAGCAGCCTTTAGCGAAAGGAGCTTTAATTCAACACTCTCTATTGGCTCAAAAGGGGACTGAGATAGTGCGTTAAGGACCACAGACAGATCCCACGGCGGAATCAATGGCTTTGAAACCCTGTTCAAACGTCGTGCACCTCTCATAAACCTGCATACAAGCGGGTGTTGACCTATAGTGTTTCTGTCAACCCCCACATGACACGCAGAAATTGCGGCAAGATAAACCTTAAAGTCCCTGTAAAGGCAATTTCAAAAAAAAAATCTAAACACATTATAAATGTTAGAAATGTATTGCTAAAACATATTACAAAGACTGTGAACTGTGAAGTACTGATTTGTGGAGTTAGACCGTTAAACAGTTTTTCACCATTGCTATTTTCCGGATTTTCTGGGCGGGGCTAAAACAGGGCTCGATGACGCACTGGAGCCCTTGAGCTCCTGGACACGCCCCTACTTGATGACGCACTGTAGCCGCTTAGGCTGGCCGCTCCTAACAATATTATAGAGCACATTCACATCAGTTTGCCTCTCAATCGCGAGTTACTGTCAGCACTATTATTAGTAACACAGCCTACAGATTGCTAGCTAGCTATGCCTTCGTCACGGAAATGCGTAGGCCTACTACCTGGATGCGATCACCGGATCACGTACAAAACAGATCGGTGTCCTTATTTAAATTTCCGAAAAACGATTATATCAAGAAGAAGTGGATTAATTTTGTGAAGAGCCACCTTGATGGAGAGCTGAGGATCACCGCCAACACCCGCCTCTGTAAGTGATCATTTTACACGGGATAGTTTTAT